TGATGATGAGTGTTAAGTATTCTAATAAATAACAATATAGAATGTGTGTAAGTAGAGCATGTTCCGCCAGTTTAAATAAGAGCCAACTTTGATTGAAGCAGTCTGCAGTGACATAATTTTAGCAGCTGAGAATAAGAGCTTAACTTTGATTGAAGTAGTGGCATAAGTTTAGAAGGTGAGATGAGATGATGTTTAATCCAATAATCTAGGCGTTGAAATGCTTATGCATTCGTGGAAAAAGGTGTTGATAGGAGGGCGATGCCTTTGTTCTGTCAGTGCAAAAAGAAAAAATTCCGTTGCCGGGACTTGAACCCGGGTCTCTCGGGTGAGAGCCGAGTATCCTAACCAGCTAGACTACAACGGATTGTGTGGGACGTCCTTCTGTATTCCTTTTATATCCAAACATGAACATTAAAATCGATGAGGCACCACGCCCTGTACAGATTGATAATCAGCAAAATGCTACTGCTAAAATCTTCGCATTGTTGTCTAGTCCTTGTATTCCTGGGAATTAAACAAGGCCGGAAGGCCCCTCCAAGATTTTTATGCATTTTATTATTTTCTTTCTGCATTTTCACAGTCATAGATTCTTTTTTTTTTGGATAAGGTAGTCATAGATTTCTTGGTCCTGTACCAGAAACAACAAACAAAGAGCGCTGCAAATGAAGACTGCCTGGAAACAGGAGAGGGCGAGGCCACAACCTGAACCCTATGCCTCTCGATTTACCTCCGCAATGGCGCAACACACCCAGAGGGCCAGAGGCAGTCAGGCAGAGGACTAGAGGAGAGCAGAGCACGGCCGGTTTTCTCTCACTAGGGCCTTGTTTAGATTGAAAAATTTTTCAACCCGATAAATAGTAGCACTTTCGTTTTATTTGGTAAATATTGTCCAATCGTAGACCAACTAAGCTCAAAAGATTCATCTCGTTATTTCCAACTAAACTGTGCAATTAGTTATTTTTTTTACCTACATTTAATGCTTCATACAAACGGCTAAAAATTGATGTGATGAAAAAAGAGTGAAAAAACTTAGAATTTTGAGGGTATCTAAACAAGCCTAGGACTGTCTGGTTGAAGGCCGATGCTTGCAGAGGGAGTCCACAGGAATCTCGTCATGGCACAAATGGCATGTGTGCTTGCTTCATGCCTTTCTGCTTTCCGTCAAATGTTTTAGGGTTAATTGCACAAACGCTATTATAATTTTCGATGTTCGGAGAAACATCATTACTATTTGTCTATCTTGAAGCATGCTATTACAATTTTTTGTTTCCCAAAAATACCCTTTGAATACGATATGGACACTGATTTGGGTCTAGGCTGCGCGATATCTGAAGACGTATACTTCATCACCCACATCAGCGACACATGGCCCCACATGTCATCATCTTCTTGCTCCTCTCCTCCTCTCTCTCTCCATGCCGACGCGGCCACGGCCATGGCGAGTAGCAGCAAGCACGCCCGGCAGCCATGAGCAGCAGCAGAGACGCGCCGACAGCAAAGCACGCCGAGCAGGAGCTCCAGTATGCAAGTTCAGAGCGTGGCTGGCGCAGCGTGCAGCTTCAGCGGGAGTAGGCAAGCAGCGTGGAAAGCTGGCAGGAAGCTCAGGCAGCGGCGTTTGCTCAGCGTCTTGTGGCGTGCATGGAGATGGCACGCGAGCAGTGCTGGCGCTGAGCGGAGGAGGCAGCGAAAGCACCACCGCCGTGGCGAAGCTCCAGAGCGAGGTATGCGCGTCTGAAGCAAGCTGTCAGCGCAAGCAGCAGCAGCAAACTCCAGCCTTGGCGGCGCAGGCTCGGGCGGAGCGCGCATGAGCAGCGGCAAGACGCCGACAAGCAAAGACGCTGCCGAAAAAGCAGCAGCAGCAGAAGAAGACGTCGGTCAGCCGCGAGCTCAGCGTCGGCCGCGTCCTCAGCAGCGCCGCCAGAGGCGAAGCTCCACACCGGCGGCGTCCTGCTTTGCTCGGTATGGCACTCCGTCGGCTTTGCTGCAGGCAGCGCTGACGGGTCACGACAATGGCTCGTCGGCTCGCCCAGCAAGCCTTGACCGCCGCGCCCGGGCAGCGGCGCCCCGCCGTGGCCGCGTCGAGATGGAGGGAGAGAGCCGGAGAGAGAGGAGAAGAGGAGGAAGAAGATGACATGTGGGACCCGCGTGTCGATGATGGGGAGATGAAGTATCGTCTTTCAGATATCGTCAAGAATCGCATGCATCTGTGTCCATCGTATTCAAATGACATTTTATGGAAAACAAAAAATTGTAATGGCATGGTTCAAAATAGACGAATAGTAATAACGTTTCTCTGACCATAGAAAATTATAATGACGTTTCTACAATTAACCCAATGTTTTATGCTACCTCTGTGTTTAAGAATCCGTGAAACCTTCGCATCGTCGATCTGACCACGATCAGATAGATGTCTGGGATGCTCGATGAGAATGGTGAGGCCTTTTTGAGCCTCGCCAGAGCACACGACCCTGAAACTCATGTTTGTGTCTCACGGCACATCTAGAAAGCTAGCAGTGTTTTTCTATTTGGATTTGCTATTCTAGTACTACTATATTCGTATATACTCCACTTGATATACTAGCGCGGTAGCGCCCATTTTCAAGGAGCACCCGGCACATGTCCACTTCACCCATCCAAATATCCGATGGCTCGCCTCGGCATGCGCGCGCTCCGGCAGGCCGCTGGCGCGACCCCGACCACCAACCGCGCCCGCACGCACGCCCCCGCACCGCGCGCGCGGCTCTGCCTCTGCTTCACCTCCCGGCGTATATGTAGCCCGCCGCTTTCCTCGCTCCCGTCAGCCCGTGTCCTGCCATAGCCTAGCATTAGCGCACCCGAGCTAGCCGGTTGGATCGCCAAGCCCAAGAGGCCGAGAAGACGCACGTATGTCTCGCGCGCTCGCGTTTGCGGTCCTTCTCCTGGCCGCCGCCGTGGTGGCGCCGCTGGCCTGCGCCGACGGCGTGGAGTCCATCCCCGGCGCCAAGGAGTCCGCGAGCGCCGGGTCCAGCGGCGCCAAGGTGTTCGACGACACGGCGGTCGGTGCCGACCCCGATCCCTCCCCGGGCAGCGGCCTGCCGGCTGACCCGGCGCCCGACGCGCGCCCCTAAGGCCACGGCCACGCACCGTCGTCGTCCCGGTTTCCTCCGTGTACGCTTCACGCGTCAGTACTCTTCTCGTTCTCGCGTTGGTAAGACGTAGTAGTACTTACATGAAGTCTTCATGGACACCACGCGCCTTGTACATGTCCCTGGAATGTTCAACCTGCATGTGTTTTGCTTGCGAGCGTTTTTCTTTGGTTAGTCGTCGATCCATCCTGAATCTGAATCCGTCACGCAGCAGTGAGCTGAGCATTCTGCTGTCAGTGTGGAAATGCCACTCTGACGCTTGGGTTCCATTCCATGTAGCTCCAGCCAGGCCACCGGTGTGAAATAAATTGGATATTTGATCGATGAAAACACAGCTTATGTATGTTTGTTTTGAGATCGACGCTGCCATCTCCATGTTTGTACAGCATGACGATCGAAGCCATGCTTCACTCTGGACAGCGTTTGCCTTCCTCTAAAAAAAACAGTTGACCATGTTGGTGCGAAACAGTGCAGAGTTTAAGGCAGATTAATCAAGCATTTGATACTGTTACTGTATGTGAATGTTAGGAACTAGCCGTGGTTGGGCCTCGCATGGGCCATGGGCCTTGAGCCCAGTCCAGACATTGGATGGGAGATTACATATGCCAAGAGCCAGCAGCGAGAAGGGCATCGAACAGAATATTCACAAAGCTATCTTCTTCATCTGGTTCCCCTCTTCCTCCTGGAGTTCTTGATGTATCCTCCTCTCTTCTACCTGAAGTCTCTTTGCTGTATCTCTGGAACCTTCTAGTACCTTCTTCTAGCATCTCTTTCCCTGCTTTGCTTCCTATTCTCCACTCTCTCTCGCGCGCGTACTGTATCGGGTTGCTAACAGTGAAGTCCTGATTCATATGGAGTATACATACATTCATCGGGTCCCAGAAGACCAACACAAACTCAGGACGATCGATCAAACTTTTTCCGCAGAGAGTAAAGTCCATGTGAGAGCTTGATCAATGCCAGCTTTCATCCAACACAACTCCACACATGCGTACAGAAACGAAGTCGATTTTATACAGCTTGCATTGCCCATGGACAACGAATTTGAGTATTTAAGTACTCACGCCTGCTGTACCTGTACCCATCCATTTCTTTGGCCTTTCTCAATTTAATATGCCAGAGGATCTTGCGGAATATCATCTCATATTCTCATCTCAACGCGAGATGCTCGATCTGTGGCATGCCTTGAATTTTAATATACTTTAGACTCCATCAACGGAGACGCTTATCTGTAAAGTGACCACACACAGTGATTAATATATGATACACAACATTACCATGGTAAGCATGGCGCCCTTAATATAGTACGCACCACAGTATTTTTTTTCCTCTCTCAGCTCGACTGACTGGTTTAAACTCATCACAGGTCTACCTCGTGGAACCCTGTTATGCGGTTTATGCTTTATACTAGATTTTTACACTACTCAGGATCATGTCTTGCATTGCATTGACAAATCTGTGGGCAAGATGATTGAGCTATCATAAGTTTTCAGAATGGGTTGTCGAAACTGTCGATCACTCATGGTTAGGGTGCTGGTTTAAGTGCGATCCAATATATTGATTATGTATCTCTTCTGACTGGCAGCGTTAAGGAAAGTCTTTGTATCAGTCGTTGTAGATTATGACTGGCATGACACATCGTTCAAAGAGTACATTCTTCATCCTGAGCCTGTGTGTTTTTCAATCTCACGGTTCAAATACTACCCAAAAGTACTGTTACATGGTGACTTTTGTAGAGTAATGTGGTGGATTCCTGACAAATGGAGTTCTAGCATGGCGGTTTTTGCACACTGGACAGATGATTCATTTCAAATGGAAGTTTCATGGGAATTTTAGGGAGGCTCTATTTCTTTGACACACCTTGTCTGTATTCTTCTAGAGCCTAGCCCTTGTTGCTTTTGCTATCCTTGATTCATATTCCATGACACCAGGAATGTAAATTTCCATAAATAACTTCTCCCAATTGATGAACTTGATGTCACAGGGGATCATATCTCTGTCTCTTTCATTCATCATCGCGATAAGGTTCTGCGTGCTGGAGTCATCAAACCTGCAAGTGCAGCACAGGGGCACAAAATGGGAACAATTCTCGATAAAGAAATGGCCTACATTTTCTTCTTGGAGCTATGCCAATCTTACCTCCCTTTGAATAACGTGACTGGCCAGTATGGCTCTGCAACAGCCACTGTTACATCATATTCTCTCTTGAGCCTAATATTGTAAAAAAAATTGCACTGATATTGTAAAAGGAAAAGGCTCACGTGAGGGGTGAGTGGAAGAAAACTAACTTCCATCTAGGTGAATGGGAAGATTCCTGAGAGGTGCCTGGCCGCCTGCTTCCTCAGCATCCGCTCCGAGGAAAAGGCCTTTAGGTCAGCTTCATAGAGATTAGAGAAACTGTAGTTCATACCAGAAAAAAGTGGGTTCAATTCTTGTGTACGATTAACTTTTGAGAAAGAGACCTTTAGGTCAGATTTCTAGACAAACTGCAGTTGAAATACGAAAGAAATTGGCTTGATTCTTGTGTAAGACTGGGAGGTCTGTAATACCACGTGAATATGCGTTGTCTGCAATGTGATTATGCTTTGTCTTCTTGCATGCGTACAAATTGACGGATTTACTGCAGCATATAGCAAAACGCACAGAAACCATAGAGATTTGCATTACAGGCATGCACCCATAGTTTTTATTGCCACAGTATAAAAACATGTCTGATCCAATGTTTGAAAAGAACAGTGCAGCAGATATGTAGCATGGTGAATTTTGTACACTGCTGTGAAGTATTTGTTAGAATTTATATGGCCAGTAACAGTATTTGCTTCAAATGGGAGTTAGGTTCCATGAGACTGATTTTCAGAGCTCGTGTTAACTCTTTTAAAGCCTAGCCCTTGTTGCTTCCCTTGATTCACATTCCATGACACTAGGGAGGTGGATTTCCCTGAGGTACTTCTTCCAATTAATGAACTTGCTATCACAGGGGATCAGTTCTCTGTCTCTTTCGTTCAAAAACGTGATAAGCCTCTGCATGTTGGAGTCATCAAACCTGCAAATTCAGAACAAGGGTAAAAAATGGGAACAGCTCCTAATCAGGAAATGGTTCGTGGTTTCCTTGGAGCTATCTCTACCCTACCTCCTCTTGAAGAATGTGCCTGATTGGAACACTTCTGCAACAGCCACTGTGAAATTGTACTCTCTCTTGAGATGGTTGTATCTGTCTTGCTCCTCAGCGGTAGATAATCCGCGGCGTACCATATCCTGCAACTGAAAATAATGACATGCTCTGGGAGAAAATAGCCACAAAATTCAATGCTGAAGTTATATTTAATTAAAAACTAACCTCCAAAGGCATCTTGTAGTGTATGTCCATGTGTTCATAGAAGCTGTCCATAGTTGCTGGCACAACCAGCTGCTTCACCTTGATTACCTCTCCCTCTGCACTAACAAATGGTCTCTCCAAGAAGTATCTGAACATTGCATGTACCAGATCGCCAATCTTGAGAGGGTTGCGCATGGAAGAACCACTATGGTAGATCAAGTCTAATGGTCCTTGAGGGTGGCAACTGATGATACAAAGCATCGCATTGACCACAATGTCTGCAGGTACCTATAAGTCATACATATAAAATAATCACCTGTAATGATTTAAACTAGTGTAGCCTCTATGATAACCTAGTTCCCTCTACAACTCAATTCTTCAAGCTGAATACAGGAAGATTGTATCGTACTATGTCCATGATGGTTGTGACATCTCCAGGAAGAAACTTTAGATGCCCCTTACCATAGTTAGTAACCCATATGTCAATTGTTCTGCATCGGTTTCACACAGTATATTTGAAAGTGAGTTGCCTATGATGACAGAATGGAAGTTCTTGAAGCAATCAAGTGAGAACATGTGGTTCAGGATGCTGAGAAACTGACTTGATTCCTTCTATCCATCCAGCAAAAGGCTCCATCAACGTGCTTGTTGTGGAAGTTGGGCGGACGATGACGATTGGGAGCCGTGATCTGTGTTCATATGCCAGCATCTCAGCCATTGCCTTTGTAAAAACATAGGTGTTCATCCATCCAAACTTCCGAGCCCTGTTTGGTCACCACAGAGATTTTGAGACATCATTCTGGATGGTGCATCATGTATGAAAGTGAAACTATTTAGATTGAATTGTGCATGTGATGATAAAAAATTCAAAATATAGAGGTGAGACCTTTCTGTTCCAATCTTCTTCATGGTGCGTCTTATAGTATCTTCTGAAGCACTGCTGCAAACTAGCTCTTCCAGCTTCGCCTCTGCAAATGCTATTTCTTCTGAAATATCTAATTCTGATTGGCCATCATAACTCCTGTTCTGTTGAAGTGGCTTCTCCAATACGACTCCTGATTTCTTTGAATTAACGTAAGCTGGAATTTTATAAGAGTTCTCTCATTTAAAAAGAAATCCCTTTTGTTGATGGAAGCAAACTGATGCAAAATTTTCAGGTCTCACCAGTTGACACAAGAAGAACGAGCTCTAGCTTTACACATCTCAATGCGACCTCCAGAATATGCTTCATGCCCATGGTGTTTATCGCCAAAGCTGTATCATGTAAATATATTATGCGTTCAAGAGACTAAATGGAAGGGTCAGAAGGCGAAGGAGGTGGATAATACAGGTTTCAAGCTTTGGTACACAGGGACAGTCGCGAATAGAAATGGAATATGAGTTTTGATTGATAAGGGCCTCAAGAATGGTGTGGTGGGAGTGAGAAGGCAAGGAGATAGGATTATCTTAGTCAAGCTTGTCGTTGATGATATGGTCTTGAACGTAATTAGTGCGTATGCCCCCAAGTAGGCCTCGACGAGAGTGCTAAGAGACAGTTCTAGGAAGACTTAGATGGCCTGGTTAGAGCTATACCTAGTAGTGAGAAGCTTTTTATAGGAGGAGATCTTAATGGGCATGTAGGTACTACAAGCGCAGGTTTCGAGGCAGTTCATGGAGGTTTTGGATATGGTAGTAGGAATTAGGAGGGGGAGGAAGTTCTGGACTTCGTGGTAGCTTTTGACCTGATGATAGCCAACACTTTCTTTAGAAAGAGAGAATCTCATCTAGTGACCTTCAGTAGCAGACAACACTTTAGCTAGATTGACTTTGTCCTCGCAAGAAGAAAGGACAAACGAGCATGCTTGATTGCAAGGTGATACCAGGGGAGTGTGTTGTTTCTCAACATAAGCTTTTGGTGGTAGATTTTCGTTTTCAGGTGCGTGCCCGTAGTGATAAACAAGCTAAGATTCAAAGAACAAAGTGGTGGAAACTGAAAGGGGAGACGTCAGAGGTATTCAGGGAAAGGGTTATCAAAGAGGGCTCTTGAAAGGAAGAAGACGACATAAACAACATGTGGGAGAAGATGGCAACCAACATTCGGAAGGTGGCCTCAGAGGTGTGTGGAGTAACCAAAGGAAGTGGAGGCGAGGCTAAAGATACTTGGTGGTGGAACGAGGAAGTCCAAAGGGCTATTCAGGAGAAGAAAGAATGCTATAGACGCTTGTACTATGATAGGAGTGTGGACAACATAGAGAAGTACAAGGTGGCAAAAAAGACTGCAAAGCGAGCTGTAAGTGTGGCAAAGGGTAGAGCGTACGAGGATCTTTACCAACATTTGAGTACGAAGGAAGGAGAGAAGGACATTTATAGGATGGCTAGGGTTCGTGAGAGAAAGACACGGGACTTCAACCAAGTTAAGTGCATTAAGGATGAAAGGGAGCATCTTTTGGTGAAGGAGGATGAGATCCGACATCGATAACAAGAGTATTTTGATAAATTGTTCAATGGTGAGAATATGGACACAACCTGTCGGATACCACAAGAAGGGGTACCCTAAGCAAGAACCAAAAATGTTGCTTAGACCTTGCAAAAATCAAAGACAAAAGACTACCGCCAGGTCTCTGCAAAATTCTCCAATTCGCTCGAGGCCTCGCGCCGAGGCCTCATACGAAAGGCCAAAAGCGCCCCGCCGAGGCCCTCTCGCCGAGACCCTCTCGCCGAGGCCTCGCCCCGAAAGGCCTCGGATGGGATGCCAATTCTCCGATTCGCTCGAGGCCGGGCTCGACAAACATACTCGTAACCTCCGTCCCGACCAAACTCCTCTGACAAAACATCACGTCCAGATGAATGCGCCCAACTACTCCCGCAAACGTCAGCCGCACTCAGGTACAGTACGGGCAGAACGACCGACGGGACAGGGGACCGGGCGCAACAGGGGTTACCTGCCACTATGCTCATCACTGTGCTACCTAACCCCTGTGCCAAGGACAAAGCAGCATGGAAGGTCAAGTCCATGTCCCTGTAGTCTCGAAAACCGCAGGAGAGCCCAACTGCTCGTTCTACGCCTCGTCCGAGACCCCCCGGCAGGGTCTCAGGCGTACTATTCCTTCTCCGCCTCGGCCGAGGCCGGACTCGTCCCGTATCCTCGTCGTCTCTGCCTCAACTGCCCCTCTAGCGGGTCGTCCCATCCGTGTAAGTACCCCTGGTTGCGCCTACGTCAGCCACGATTGGCGGTGGCATAGCGCAGGGGCGATGGGACGGCGGTCAAATCTCCTTTTTTACCATTCCCCACTGACAGTGCGGGGACTACGTGCTTTTGCGGACACACGCCCTGCACTTTTCCACCTAAACCGGGTACGACGCTGACCACTGAGACCGTCGCATCGTACTCAGGTCACCTCCCAGGCCTCGGCAAATCAGGCCTCGGTGCGGTCGGCCACAAACACCTGCCAGGCCTCGGCGAACCACCAAGTAAAAAATTCACAAGGCACGGCATGTCACCTACAGAGGAGGCCATGCCGACTAAACGTCAACGAGGACCCCTACGACTCAACTTGACTTCGGGCATGGGCGGCATGACGCACAAAGTGATCAAGTACCAATTGTCATTCCCGACACTGTGCTGCTACAGGAATAGGCCACAGTACTAGATCTTCCTTCCTCGCTAAGGCTCCACGTGTAGCTCTCTCATGTACTCCTGGCTCCCTCCTTGTGGCTATAAAAGGAAGCAGCCAGGGCCATTTCTATGGATCGAGACCACGCCGGCCCTCATGCGCAAAACGCACTCACTCGATTCACGCACGCTCCCACGCTGCCTGAGAGCAACGACTCAAGCATCCCGCACCACTCCACGCCGAGACCTAGGACTAGCTCCCTCTCTCACCCAGCTTGTAACCCCCTACTACAAGCACTTCGATGCAAAAAATACAAGATCGATCTCCTAGACTAGACGTAGGGCACTAATTGCCTGAACTAGTATAAACCTTGTGTCTCTTTGCATCACCATCCGGGATTAGGGGCACGCAGTTCACATTTACTGGTTGGTTGAGGACCACCCGGTCCAAAACACCGACAGTTGGCACGCCAGGTAGGGGGGTCTGCGTGTTAGCGTGATCGTCCCAACAAGTTTCGAATGGCTGACCCCATACGTCCACTATGTCTCGGCACGGTGGTCTGGTTTGGGAGCCTAGAGTTCATGGCTCTAGGATGTGAGTACGATATGGTACTCCTCACACCTAGAGCCCCACCGGCCGATGACGACGTCGCGCAACGGTAGCCCGGGCGCAGGCGGCGCCCGGGCCACCGCTCTCGTCACGCTCGCCAGGCACGACGTGAGCGGGACTACTCCGACGCCATGCGAACTCAGGGCTACGCACCGCACTCCGCCGACATCCCTTGCCCGGCTGTTGGTACAGAGTCCTGGCTAGGGACCTGTCTAGCCTAAGCCTAGGCAGGGGAGAGACGCCAGTAGCGCGCAGCGACATCCCGTCGTCAAGCTCTGCCCCGCCACTTCCTGAGGAATCGACTCAGACGGAGCGGAGCCCAGCTGTGGCACCATCCCTGTACCTCTTCGGGCTGAAAAAACATCGCCGCCGCCTACGCTTTCGCTTACGCCTCCGCGCACGCGGAGCCCTCGAGACACCACCAACGATTCGCCCTCGACTTCTCCACCACAATCTCGACCCACACCCACACTGAATCCTCGAAGGAGGATGAGGCATGAGCCGGAGCGAACTTCTCCGAGCTTCGTGACCCCGAGACTATGCGTCGCTTCTTGGCCGCAAGCGACTACTGCTTCGACCACTCCGACTCCGATGACGAAAGCACTTATGATCCCACTCGAGAGTGTTTCCACATCGGGCTCGAAATGCCAGGGGCAAGTGACGAGGGTGAGAGGACAGGCAACCGGTCCCCACTCCGCCAAGGGGCGGGCGACGCCACACCCCCGCTCGTCGAGTTCCGGGCGGCGTGGAACGTGAACATCGCCCCTGGGATATCCGACGCCTAGACCTGGAGCAGCTCTGTGAGCTCTAGGGAAAAGTCAACCAAGATCGACTCCTGCTGCAGCAGCTCTGAGACACTCTCGAGCAGGAGCAGCAAGGCCGCGGTGACGGCGGAGGGGCCCGGTAGAGGGCCCACGATGTACACCGCCGCATCAACAACAATGAAGGAAGTGAGCAACCCCCAATCTTCAATCGCGCTAGCCAGAACATCATGGTGGCGGCGATGCTAGTCTGAGCGATGCCCGAGCCCTCTACCACGGAGGGGCGATGGGTCCGTGGCGAGCTCCGAGACCTTCTCGAGACCGTCGCATTACAGCAGGTTGAGAGCTTCGCGTCTCGGTGACGTGAGAACATCTCGAAGCGGCCCTCAGTCCACGACCGCCTCAGCGACCGACGCGAGGCGCAAGAGGACCACGACGTGGTTAGTAGGCGACGGCGCCACGACAACGATAGGCTCGCCCGAGGTTACCACCCACACCGAGTTGGCCGCTACGACAGCGGGGAGGACCGCAGTTCTTCTCTTGGGCCGCCTGGCCCTAGAGTCTTCAGCAAGGCCATCCGCGGCGCTCCATTCCCTGTCCGGTTCCGGCAACCAGCCAATCTCGCAAAGTATAGTGGCGAGACCAACCCTGAGCTGTGGCTGGCCGATTACAGCCTGGCTTGTCAGCTAGGTGGCATGAACGATGACCTGCTCATCATCCTGTAACCTCCCCTTGTTCCTGTCAGACTCGGCGCAAGCCTGGCTCGAACACCTCCCTCCCTCACAAATTCACAACTAGCGCGACTTGGTCAAGGTCTTCGTCGGGAATTTCCAGGGCACATACGTGCGCCCCGGGAACTCCTGAGACCTCAAGAGTTGTCGCCAGAAGCCGGACGAGTCTCTCCGAGACTTCATCCGGCGCTTTTCCAAGCAGCGCACCGAGTTGCCCAGCGTCGGTGACTCGGAAGTTGTCCAGGCTTTTCTCTCCGGCACCTCCTGCCGAGACCTGGTCCGAGAGTTAGGCCAGAACGTACCAACTTCGACGGCCGCGCTCCTCGACATCGCCACCAACTTCGCCTCGGGCGAAGAAGCTATCGGGGCCATCTTCCCCGACAGCGAAGCAAAGGGGAAGCGGAGGGACGAGACCTCTAGGGCCTCGCCCTCCCATTTCTCAAGAAAAAGAAAAAGAAAAAGGGGCGCCAGGGGAAGCAAAAGGCCCTCGAGGCCGATTTTGTCGCAGCCACGGATCGTAGGAATCTCCGAGGCCAGCAAAAG